TGATAAGACTTGGAGGCCCAAGGTCATTCGGATGACACCCCGGAGGGTCTAGAAGTATTCGAAGCATTCTAGCGTTGAGGCTAGCAGGAATCCCAGCCACTACAGGGGTCCACACCACCACACCACCAAGGAGGGTTGCCTAAGGGAGCTACTGTACTCCGTTCCACGTATCTAGGATGTGAGATGTCGTGTGAGAGGGGCGAGAGGGGAAGAGGGGGAGAGAGAGGAGAGGGGAAGAGGAGGCAAAGCCCGACTGGCGCTTGGTGGATGGACCGTGTGGAGGAGCATCGCGAGCGGCGAGACGATGGCCTCGATGGTGTTGGAGGCGGCGTTCGAGACCGTGGAGGTTGCGAGTGCAAGTACGGAGTACTACCATCTTCATTGACGTCTGAGCGCCCAGACCTTGGCAATCGCCCAGCCGGGAGTTCGCGAGATGCCAAGTGTCTTGGCCTGCAAGGCACAGCTAGGCTTCGACGATCTCGGAGGGAGTTTTGTTGGTTGGTCGCATCAAGGTTTGACGTTATCGGGGCCTGGGAGTACGGCAAACCGAGCATCTTGGGGCAGGCGATCTGATGGATAGGCCTGTACTGTGGTCGCCACGCCGAAGGGGACGGCGTTGAGAAGGATTCCCGTCCCGGACGCGGGGAGTTTGAAGTGAGCGAGGGAGGCGAGAGTAAGACGGTGAGATTTGGTCGAAGTTGTTCGGAAGACCTTCCCAATCCAGCCCAGCTTGCTTATCGTCGACGGCACGGAAACCTCAAGTCTGGCAAGCCAATTGGGCTTTCTTGGGGAAGGGAGAAACGGCGACAACTCGGGGCAAGTGCAACTGGCCACTGGGGCGTAACTGGGGCCCGACCGGGGCCCGACCGGGGGCAACTACGAGCTGGGGAGGCCGGGACAATTAGCCTTCATTATGCTTCTTTGGTGCTTGCTTGGGCGACTGGTCATGCACGTCCCGCGCTGCAGCCCGCTGGAAGGCCCACTGGAAAGCCCACTGGAAGCCCACTGAACCCACTGAACCCACTGAACCCACCCGGAGCCTTGATAGTACGTACTGCAGCAAGTCATGGCAGCAACCCAGGTTGAAACCTGCCGCCGAGGTACCTAACAAATCGCGCCTAGAGCTAATCTGTGGTCCCACTCAATGCTCGACGACAGAGCCAATCCAACATCCACACTCATTCCGGAGGCTTCATCGTTGCACTTTGGCCATCAGCCAACCCCGTCCAGTTTGCCTTGCTCGACCAGCTGAGCTGGCGTGGGATTATGTTGGAAGAGCTGGATCTAGACATGATGCCTCAGAAGCTGAGCCCATGAACGTGCCGACAAGCGCCTCGGTGGCGGTAGCAACACCAGACTGCGTAACCATCACACAACGGACGGTTCCGTCTCACAGGCGTCTTGTGTACCTAGTGGCCCACGCAACCACGGCCGTGCGGATGTCCCCAGTCAAAGACTCCAACGGCATTGCGCAGTGATGATGGCGGGATTGGAACCTTGCACACGCGATTCCCGGGTACAACCAACCATACCCCAGGCTTTGGCGTACGTACCTGAACGGCACTACTGTAACCCCCATAATCGTGTACATGCAACGAGGGATGCAGGGCAGGGCAGGGCACAGGGCACAGGGAAGAGAGACAGGAGGGTGAGAGTCGCTTTTCTCACGTCCTGCACCCAACGTCCCAATAGCACCTGAGACGCAGTCCACTGGGAGACGGACACCCATCTCGAGGACACCCACCCGCGGGGACCAAGGCAGAATACGATACTGAGCTATTACTGTACAGAGCCAACACATGCGCTGCAGACGATGATCGCCGTGGTGATATCTTTTACCAGGTGGCGCTAATCGCCAACACTGATGAAGCCTCGACGAACCATTACCCAAGCTTCAGGATCTGGACACGGCGCGGCCAAGACTCGTGGGACCGGGAGACATCCGGAAACGAATGCCCTAGGCCGTGGCGCCATTGTTGAAAGGGTGCGCCTCCAGACAAGACTCTCGAACACTCGCTCATGCCGAGACGGCTGAGCTACCACTAGCCCGACTAACTGCCCACGGAACCCGCATCCTGAGCGGCACCGAGATAGCGGCGAAATCACTGCGTATCCCATCCTGCGACTACGTGACTACATGTGTGTAAGCTGTTGGAGATCCCCACCTGATGCGGTGCGAGCGAGTGTGCTCCATACCGGTAGTACCGTAGGATGGACCGAGTCCGAGACTAGTTCCATCCACCACCCACAATCACTTGTCCATACATCTTGTTAGATAGGCTCTGCGAACAAAAGATGCGTGGACACCCCCCTAGTCAATGGTCACACTGACCGGGGTTCCCTAGTCGCACAACATGAATCAACTTGGGCCCTCTTTGCCTGGTTGCCATCGTCCTGAAGTCGTCTCGGGTACGACCATGGGGCGCTACGCCGCAACTAGCAAGTGCAATTCTAGAACTTGACCCATGTAGTTGGTATGGCTAGGGACACAGGAGCTTCCCTCCCTGCCTACTCTGCCTCTACCTGATCCCTATCCGGACAGCTTGTCGAACGCATACATAAGGCTTCGGTTCCCCCTCCCTTTTCAGAAAGCCAAGAGCTCGTTCGTCTCTCATCCTTGATACCCATCCCACAGCTACAGGACACTTCCTGGAAACACATCTTCACCATGTCAAGCACCCCGCCTCCCAAGGACTACGAGAAGGAGGCTGTCGTCAACGCCCATCCTCAAGATGTCGAAGTCGGCTCCACCCAGCAGGGTGGCCTCAAGAAGGACCTCAAGAACCGACACATGCAGATGATTGCCATCGGCGGTGCTATCGGAGCTGGTCTCTTCGTCGGTTCTGGTGGTGCCCTGGCCAAGGGTGGCCCTGGTGCTCTGGTTATCGGTAAGAACCTAATCAAGACAGTTACTCGAAGTGTCAGCAACTAACAATGTTTCAATAGGCTGTAAGGAATATTCGCCCCATCGGGTCCCGAACGGAAGAACTGACCAAATCACATAGACATCATCATCGGTATCATGTTGCTCCTCACTACCCTGGCTCTGGCCGAAATGGCCGTCCTCTACCCCGTCAACGGTGCCTTCTATACCTATATTGTCCGCTTCGTCGATCCTTCGTGGGGTTTCGCTGTCGGCTGGGAATATGCTCTCTCTTGGCTTACTGTCCTTCCCTTCGAACTCATTGCCGCCAGTGTCACCATCAAGTACTGGAACGACACTATCCATATGGCAGTCTGGGTCACCATCTTCCTCGTTGCGCTCACTGTTGTCCAAATCTTCGGTGTCAGGGGATACGGTGAAGGTACGAATTGACAAAAAATCGCTAAGCATTCAATTACTAACCATCTTTCACAGTCGAGTTCGTCCTGTCTCTCATTAAGATTATGGCGTGTCTTGGTTTCATCATCCTAGGTATCATCATCAACTGCGGTGGAGTCGGTGACCAGGGATACCTCGGAGTCAAGTACTGGCACGACCCCGGCGCTTTCACCAGCTTCAAGGGTTTCTGCTCTGTGTTCGTAGTAGCAGCATTTGCATTCGGTGGAACAGAGATGGTTGGTCTCGCCGCTGCTGAGTCTGCCGACCCTCGCAAGTCTATTCCCACTGCTAGCAAGCAGGTCTTCTGGCGTATCGCTCTCTTCTACGTCATCAACCTGTTCATCGTTGGAATCATCCTGAAGAGTACCGACCCTCGACTCGAGTTCTCCAGCGGCGCCAACACCAGGGCCTCTCCTTTCGTCTTGGCCATCCAGGACGCCGGTATCAAGGTTCTGCCCTCCATCTTCAACGCTGTCATCACCATTTCCGTCCTCTCGGTCGCCAACTCTTGCACATTCGGATCGACCAGAACTATGCAGGCTATGGCCGAGCGTGGCCATGCTCCCAAGTTCCTGATGTACATTGACTCCAAGGGTCGCCCCCTCTGGTGTGTTCTTATCCAGCTTGGCTTTGGACTCCTGGCCTACATTGGAGAGTCTTCCAAGAGCGGCGATGTCTTCAACTGGCTCCTCGCTCTCTCTGGTCTCGCTTTCCTCTTCGTCTGGGGCAGCATCTGCCTTACTCACATTCGCATGCGCTCTGGCTTTGCTGCTCAGGGCATCAACCAGAACCTCATTCCTTACCGAACTCCCTTTGGCGTCATCGGCAGCTACGTCGGCCTCGGTCTCAACATTCTTGCCCTCGTTGCTACCTTCTACTCTTCTCTTTATGTAAGTTTCATCACCCATGCAAGCATTGTACCATCATCTCTAACATGTCCTATAGAACGCTGCCGGTGACCCCCCGAATGCTGAGGCTTTCTTCTCATCCTTTCTGGCCGCTCCCATCATCATCGCTCTCTACCTCGGCTACAAGATCTACTCCAAGGACTGGAAGTTGTATGTCAAGGCTCACGAGATGGACTTGATGTCCGGCATCGTGCTGCTCGAGGAGGAAGAAGAGAAGGAGGTGAAGAGCTTGAAGACTCTGCCCCTGCGCTTCCTGAAGGGTCTTTTCTAAGGCGTTGCAAGGAGATTTGGAGAGGGAGAAGCTGGAATACCCATTTGTATGAAGGAGTAGAGGTGGCGCGGCATAGAGGCGTCCCTGAGTATATTAAGATTTGCTGAACACGAGCGACGGATGCGCATTGAGCGAATTCACAATCCAAGCAAAGTACATTTAACCGGTCGCTACATTTATTTCAAGCTAGAGAAGTTTTACTAATGTCGGTGGTAAATTCAATTATCTTTCTTTCATAAATGTTCGTTGCGATGCTGCCCTGTCTCAAGGAGGAAGAAGAACACCACACAACACACACCGTCAACCTACCCTCTATCTTTATGCAAAATTGGGACATGGGGTAATTTAGTTAAAATGGATAACTTGGGGTGACGTTTTTCTTCCCCGGAGGCCTGTTTGTCCATCAGGGGGCTCCCGTTAGCATCCGCGGCAAAAACAAACATCATCATCAAGATGAACGACAAAAAAGAAGAGTGCATCGCAATCGATACGTAGGAAAAGCCCGATGCGGGGGTCGAACCCGCAACCTTGAGATGAATTGTGATAAGAGTCTCACGCTCTACCGATTGAGCTAACCGGGCGTGGCTCTTGTTTGATGTGTTCCCGAACTTCAATTGTCAATCCATATCCACCTGCCCTTGTGGTGGGGTTTCAGCAGAGGACCAGCAGAGTTTCTTTTGTAAATTGAGTATTATGTCCGTTCGTCAAGGTAGCCGAAGAATCTGAACCCTCTGTTGCAGGCAAACTGAATGCGATGTAGAGGACTACTCGCCGTCATCATTTACATCAAGCAAAACCAAGGCAGATACTGTCAGATGTCGTAAACCATCATTGCTGCTTGCCATCATCCTCCGCACCACGCAAAACCCATGCAGACGCCATCAGACATGATAAACCACCACCGCCACTTGCTATCAGCTTACAGGCCCTGAGATAGTAAACCCATTTGGGTTCACCTGTGTTGAGGCTGTCGCGCAACTTTCGGAGCCAGGGGTGCTGGTTGTGCGTGTATCCGTCGACATTGTTGTCAGATTCATGAGTGCTTGAAGAATCGACATTCTTCTTAGAAGCCTTGGTCTTCGACACCTTGTTCTGAGAAACTGTGGTCCCAAGACATCGGGTGTCTCACCGACCTTGGGTGTCTAGACTTTCGTTGGAGCCATAGTGCTAGCTGGGATACGACATGACTCGGCCCATCAAGGCTGGATGAAAAGCCAAATGAAAAAGACTTTAGCAGAATAAGTAATTTATAGTAGGGTATGCTGCTCAATGCTAGGATTATTCGTCTCTAAACCATGGGCAACTTTTCTAGCAAGTGCCCCAAGCAAGATCGTGAGCTCATTGCATACGAAACTAGTTTTGACCGAGCAAATTCATCCCCTTCAACCGCCATTTCCGGTGATGATTCCTTCTCCAACTCGGCATTATTAAACAGCATAGCCGAAAGCCATTGTGCTGTTCTCGGGTTAGACTTGAGCTTTGAATACCCCTGCTTATCACACCACGTACCTAGAACTTGGAAGAATCTCGAGAATTGGCCGAATAGAGCCGAGGCCTCGTAAACGCGAACTATTTCATACTGTCAGTCTGAAGATCTTGAGTAGGAATGTTGTTGACTTACATGTATGGTGACACGCAAAGGGGAGTGGTTCAGGTTCGTGAATCTCGTGCGACACGGTGTCGCTGCGGGCATCAATTACCATGGGCAGACAGTGAAACAGCAACACTCAAACTCACCAGGCGAGCTTCAGAGGCTACGAAGGCAGTCGAACAGCGTAGAACCAGCCCTCATTGGTCACGAACCAACGAATCTCACCCATGTGATCAATAGAAAATCGGTTGCGCTGAGTCCAGTTCCCGTCAACTTCACGCACAAAATAAAAACGGTTGGGGTCATCATCAGAGGGCTTGAAGTCCTGGGGTTCATAAAGACCGTTCGCAATAGCAAACTTGATCTGGTGCAGCGTCTCCTCGCCAGCCGTACGTCCAACCCCAGCGACTTCGGGGATATGGCCAGTATTACCTGCAATGATGGGGAGCCCTGGGTTCACCGCAGCACCGCCCGGGAAGCCGACAGGGGGCATACCCGCCATGGTCTGGAACTGGGGCATATACTGCGGCTGGTTGTTCACCATGACGGGCTGCTGGCCCATGATGGGTTGCTGTATCATGTACGGCTGCTGGGCGATGACATAGCTGCCCTGTGTTGCTTGAGGCATGACAGCGAGAGATGGCTGCTGCTACAAAGAAAAAGTTAGCAAAGTGTCTAGTCAAGTTCTGGCTGAGCGAGGTGGTGACAAAGCGCCTGCAAAGTGACTGCAGAGCGAAACTCGCTAGATTACTCGATTCTGATTTAAATCAACCAAGCAGAAATGTGGCGTACAAAAGAAAAAGGGGAGAAACATCAAAACCAGCAACTCTACTTGCATAGCAGGTGTAGCCATTGAGGTAGAAAGTCTTTGGGAGGATGACTGTTGTGCAGGCAGCGGTGTAGGCAGGGGCAGAAACAAACTGAACAGAAGGGTAACGGACATGAACACCAGGGAAGAGGCCCCCGTCATGGCGAGGCACGTAGATGTGAGGAATGGGGCCGAACGTCGTGTCTGGGACAGGAGGCTGGAAGTGCACCCCCGGGGGAGGAGGAGCGCAGTTTTGGTAGTCGCCCATCTTTGCTTGCTGTGGTTGTTGGTGGAGTCCGATGTAGGTGACGGGTGCGGATGGCTGAGGGAAAGTTGCAGGAGGAAACTGAGGTGAGGCGAGAAAAACCTGAGGGTTTTGTGGTAGTGGCTGTTGATATTGCGGGAGCGTGGCGTAGTTCCACGTGCGAGGCAGCTGGTGACTGATGCTCTGCGACGGGTCGAGGCCTGTGTGCCACTGCAAGTTGTTGCTGGGTGCCTGGCCAACCTGAGGGAAGCCAGTGGGCGTGGGATCGACCTCGTCACAGTTTCCGTTCTTGAGGATGCCGCTGTTCAGGCCGCAGAAGCCGCCGCTAGGAGAATGGGCGGTGTTGAAGCCAGTGGTTTTGCTGCCAGAGGTGGTGTTTCGGTTGGTGTAGGAAGAGGGTACGTTGTCTTCAGAGTCAAAGTGCACTTGGCGAATTTCCGGAGTCTTGTAGCAACGAGGCGACTTGGGGGACTTGAACTCGGACGTACCTGCACCAGGAGTCGAGGGCATCTTTCCTCCTTTTTTCTGTGGGTGCGGTAGAAACGAGGGAAAGGGGAAATCGGACCGAGGCCGTGATTCAGGGAAGGAGGCCGTAGACCTGAGATCTCGGCGGCACGAACACTGTGCGTGCTTCGAAGATGCAGGAAGAAGAAGTTGTGCGAGCTGCTTCGGGGGAAGGTATTTTAAGGGGCTTGTGTCCTAGGCCGTGTTCAAGTATGCAAGAGTTTAAGTGTCTGGTCAACGCTCCGCAAAACAGGCCAAGGTAAACAAGGATCAAAAGAGAAGATCCAATGAGAAACGGTGACCACCGAGTGTCGGCTGCGACTTCACTTTCGTCTCAAGAGAAAGCCGCCAAACGCAATAGTACACGCCCACTAGACGCGCACCAGTTCCGGCAGGTTGTTTGCAAACCCTCACAAGGATCGAAGGAACAATAGAAAACAGGTCGAATCAAAGGAACTCGTGCACTCACAATGCTCTGTAGGGCCCAGTCATGGCCATCGTGCACCCAAACCGACTGCTCGGGCAGCTTGTCCAGCTTGTCCAGAGGGTCTTCGAACTTCGACCAACTCCAAGGGAAGCACGGGAGACACATATCCGACGGTTTCTTCTGCACCAGTCTGTTGGTTAGACTCACGGCTGGCTCTTGAACTGGCAGCTGGGAAAATGTCACTCGGTCGTTAAGCAGTGGCAGGGTTGTTGTAGAAGGGACGTTGAGGTCTGGCACCACTTTCAACACAGGAAAATACGAATGGGAGCAGCGTCGGGAACCAGTCCTGCAACTCCACCGCTACGAAGTTCCTTTCAATCAAAAGTCCCAGCTTTCGAAATCATTAAAACTCCATTTCGGTCATCTACTCGTATTTCCGACAGTCGCATCCGTCGGTGAGCCCCCTCCGTCACCTGAACCCGGCGGGCTTCAGGTTGCCTAGTGCCGATAACAACCGCAATACACAACTAAGCCGAGCTATCGCACTATTGCTGCACATTGCTGGGCTCTTCATCCAAACCTTCCGTTCAGGAATCGACACTGTCATCGAAATCGGCAAAGTCGAAACGGTTTGTCGACGTATTCAACCAATTAAGCACTCGCGTTATCCGCCAGCCCAACCCTCTCTCTGCGTCGGTTTGCTCTGCCAGAAGCTTATCCAGGATACCAAACTGCGCTTCCGTGAGCTCCGGTTCACCAGGCGTTGTTGGGAGAAGGTGATCTTCCATATCCTCCAAGTGTGGCCACATCCGACGTAGCAGAAGATTCCACGACTATCAATCCATCAGTGTCCGAGAGGGTACAGCATCGGGTCATAAGGGGAACATACCCGAATCATGACTGGATGTTTTCCTGAACGAACTCCTTCTTTCAGTGCGTTGAGTGCATCTTCGTCAATCAGACCTGACCACGTGCAGGGCCTTCCTGGCGCCTTTCCGACTGGCAGCGTGTAGTTCTCCCGTGCAGCAAGCTTGAAAACCCAGGTAGCTCCATCGCCGTCAAGATTGTACTGAGGCCTTCCAAGGGCTTTCAGGCACGACTGTGCTAATTCTTTTCCCTTGTCGTTGCCCTGCTTCAAGCCGATGTTGATTTTCTTCTGGGCTGCCTTGAATACCCTTTGAGCTTGTTCGCCTTGTACCGGAAACCAGGTGTCAAGACGGAGACAAACCCCTGCCGTGTCCAGGTCAGACGGTATGCTCACGCGCCGTTGAATAAGCTTTCCTTGTGTTGTCAGCTCCAAAACGCTAACCCGGTAGTACCCCGGGAGAGATGCCCTTCCGTCAATGAGACGGGTTTTGGCGATCATCCTGAGCAGTACCGAGGTGCTGAGTGTCGACTTTACATCTGTCCAAGACGACTGAGGTAGGTTTGGTTCATTCTTGTTGCGATCCCATTCGTTCTGGCACATTGTTGCTGCCTCTTGCTCCGTGTAGAGCCTAAGCTTGTTGAACAGTGCAACACTGTCATCGCCAGAAGATGCCGCTATCATTGCGTCATGCCTTCTTTTGAGGCTCTCAGCGATGTCCTGTCTGGACAAGGGAAGTGGAGATTTATCATCGGTGGGAACAAACCATGTACGGTCATACCCATCGGATATATAAAGCCCTTCCACCGGATTATCTTGCTTGCGTGTGGGATTCCATAGGCCAGTCCCATCAAGCTGGTCCTTTTCGTAGACCACGTATGCTCTGGCTCGCCAGTCGTCAAGCAACCACAAGATCCACTCCTCTTTGAGCTTTCTTGGGTCGCCAAGTTCGCTCTTCGGGGGTAGGGTCACTTGCTTAGACGTCGGCTGTTGGACTCGTTTGGTCGTCTTCGATGGGTTTCCACCGGCTTTCTCGTCTTGGGCTTCTTCGCCCGCCGTTTCAGCACGACTTGATTCGACAAGCTGGGGCTCGTCATCTTGGCCAACATGCTCGGGCATGC